TACAAGCTTTCGAACTACTCAGAGTTCTTCAGGTCTGGGAAGAGAAATCAGTGTGTCTGAGCTAAATACAAGTTGGGACAGATAGTTTAACGTAAGGGGTAACACATGTTGTAGTGGGGGGGCAATAAGGATTATAACATTCTGTAAAAGAGGTTTGGACTAGGCTATTAAGAGTGAGCAGGTTTTATATATATTGATTATATTTTCATCCTCTGGACAAAAGCCCTAAATTCTCATAGATTTCCACCACAACTTCAACAACTACCACTCATCCATCAAACTCTCTACAACATTCCCACAAAGCATCAACTCTGGATGCCACAGTTAACTTCAACAGTGAAACCCTACAAATGACTATATATAAGAAATGCATGGATCACCATGCTTACCTCCACAGATCCAGTAACCACCCAAGAACACACAGAAATCTGTTATCTACAGCCAAACACTTAGATACCACAGAATTTGCTATGAAGAGAAAGTCCAGGATGCACACTTAAAACCACCACATTAATCAAGGATACCACTAGAGAAGTAGATTGCATCATGAAAAGGACCACCCAAATACCCTGGAAGAACCCACTTCAATACAGGGGGCAAAAAACCACCAACAGCACACACCACTATCTGTCACCTGCCACCTCACACTGGAATCCATATGGGGTATCATCAAATAGTTGCAACCAATATTTGATGGGGCCCACATCCTGAAAGAAATCTTTGCCACACCCTTCTCTTCTGGCCTTAAAACAACCCCCCAAACCTTGCCAAGCTAGTCATCAGAAGCAAGCTCTCCACGGACCGGGATGCACCAACTAAAAGTGGCACCAGACCCTGCCAGAAAAACAGATACAAAACCTGCAGACATATCTCCACTGCTATAATGATAAATACCCCCCCACACAACACCTTTCAAGATTCATGGGTCCTACACATACTTATCACATGTGGTGTACCTCATCCAGTGCATCAGATACCCCAATAAAAATTATGTGAGTGAAACCAGATAATCACTATGCTCTCAAATGAACTCTCACAGAAAATAAGACACAAAACCATCATATCAGCTATGGGTGAACACTTTTCAGAAAATGATCACCACATATCTGATCTTTCAATACTCGTCCCAGAGGAAACTTGCATAAGCACGTCAAAAGATGAACCTGGGAACTTAAATTCATAACGCTGCTAGACACCAGAAACCATGGACTTAAGAGACGCTGGTTTCATAGCTCATTACAACAATCTGCCAGCTGACTCTGAATGGGGTCTTTTATGTAAACCTCTTTTACATAACAATCTAACCCTTATTACCCAGGCCAGCTCAAGCAACCTCCTACAGCATCTTACCCTTTATGCTTAACTATCTGTCGCGACTTGTATTTAGCATAGTCACTCATATTTCTTTCCCCAGACCTAGGGCATGTCTACACTACAAACTTTTGTTAACTCAAGTTAGGTTGACATAATCTGCCACAGATAGTATATTGCTTGTGTACGTGCATGCGTACTTGGCTCCTTATGTTGGTGCTGTGCCTACTCCATATGAGTGCTTGTTTCAATGCACAGTGTGGTGCACGATGGGTAGGTATCCCAGTGTGCTACTCACCACCATCCAGTGCACTGTCTTTTGGGAAGTTTTGGCAATGCATAGCGGGGCAGAAACGAGTTTCACTGGGATGACTGGAATTGTGAGATAAAGTTCCCATCGTGCAGCTTTTTCCACCTCCAAATGCCATCTTTATTCCATAGTTTTCCACACCTATTTTTAAAATCCCACAAACCCACATGGGGCTTGCCATTGTCCACTATCTCTGACAAAAGCGTGGAGCCTGTACAACTCTGCTCTATTGTCATGAGCGTTGCAAGCACAGGATGCACGACTCTCCAGTATTTGCAGAGCTGCAGAAAGAGCTGTGGAGAACATGACGGTTTCCTGGAGGGCAAATTGCTGTAGGACCAAGCGAGAACCAATTCAACAGTGTTGGCATAGATGCTGGAACTACGAGGGATCCTGGGGGTGCTGCCACATCCCCTGGCTTGAAGTGCTTTCCATTATGTACAGGGTTTACAGTTTGGTTCACTGGCTCTCAGAACCCACACTATACAAATTGTCCCAGCATTCCTGATTGTTGGTAGTGGTCAAAGAGTGGTTGCAAATGGTGGAGAGCTGCTTTTTGGGCATGAGAAATGAGCACTGACTGGTGAGATCACACTGTAATGTCACTGAGATGACAAGAAGTGTCTGCAGAACTTTTGGATGTGCAAGGCCACATTCCTAGAACTGTGCACTGAGCTTGCCTGAGCCTTCCAGCATCTGGACACCAGAGTGAGAGCTTCACTGACAGAGGAGAAGTATCAATCACACTGTGGAAATTTGCAATGATAGATTGCTACTGGTCAGTGGGAAATCATTTTGGAGTTGGAAAAATCCAGTGTGCAGGTCATTGTCATGCAAATGTGCAAGGCCATTAATCATCTCCTGCTACACAGGACTGTGACTCTGTGCAACTTGCAGGATATAATGGATGGATTTGCAGTGATCGGATTCGTGAACAGCAGTGAAGTGATAGACAGCACACACATCCCTATTTTGGCACCAGACCACCTTGCCCCAGAGTTCATCAGCAGAAAGGACTATTTTTCTATGGTTATGCAAGTGCCAGTGGATCACTGGGGATACTTCACTGACATCAGTGTTGGCTGGTCAGGGAAGGTGCCTGACACCAACATCTTTAAGAACACAGGACTGTTCAAAAAGCTGAAAGCAGGGACTTGCTTTCCTGACTGGTGGATTTACCATTGGCAACGTCAAAATGCCTGTAGTGATCCTGGGAGACCCAGCCTACCCCTTACTCTACGGCTCATGAAACTGTACATTGGTGATCTCAACAGCACCAAGGAACGATTCAACTCTACTGGTTCAGCAGGTGCAGAGTGGGAGTTGAATGTGCTTTTAGTCGTTTGAAGGGGTGGTGACGTTGACTCACAAGACTGGATCTCAGTGAGAAAAATATCCCAGTGATTATAGCTGCCTGCAGTGTCCTGCATAGTATCTGTGAAGCAAAAGGAGAAAAGATGCATCTGGGTGGAGGGTAAAGTTGGAACATCTGTCTGCTGAGTTTGAACAGCCAGATACAAGGGTTATCAGAAGAGCTCACCCAGGACCTGTGTGGCTCAGGAAGGCTTTGAAAGAGCATTTTAATAGTGAACCGTAGTAACATGTTGTGGTGTGCTATGCTCTACCTGGCCCTGCAGTTTGGGTGCCTATTAGGAATTGTGTGGTGCTTGGTGCAAATTTATGAATAGAACACTGACAATGTATCTGTTAATTTTGTGGTGCTTGCTATATGATGATGACACTATTTGTAAAAGATCCTATAAGTTGTGTCACAGTGTTCAATAACAACTAAGTGGGTGCTTTCAGTACCGCCAGGCATTCAGCAACATATGTTGGGAACTAATAAAGATGAATTACTTTCCAAACAATATTTTATTGAGTAATGAAAACACTTCAAAAAATTCGGTACAAGTTAAAAACAAACCTTAAAAACTTAATAAATTCCTGGATCAGAGCTTAAAGGGGGTGTGACGTTAATGTTCACTTACGTCTTCCAACATATGTTACCTTTGTTTTGTTAGCCTAAGTGTTATCTTATCTGTACTCATTTACTGTACATAGCTATAGTTTTAATGATTTATAATTATCAAAGTGCTTAATCTCACTATTTACAATTACTCATTTTATATTTCAATGTTATAAGTCAGGATATGAGGAAGAGTTATGGGAAACATGATTCTTTAATGTCAACATTTCCTACCTTCTTTAAACATGAGTTTTTTCACCCAAAGTCCAGTTTTATTTGTGAGTCATTACAAAGCAACTTTGTTAGAAATTTTCCTGTGAATGCATTTTGAGTGGTGGCGCGATATTATGGTCTTGATAGTTGCTTTTAATGATACCTTAACAATGTCCACTGAAGGTAGGACAAGAAGTAATGGGGCTTAATCTGCAGCAAGTGAGATTTAAATGAGATATTAGGGAAAGCTTTCTAACTACAAGGGTAGTTAAGCATTGGAATAGAGTTCCAGGGGAGCTTGTGAAATCCCCATAATTGGAGGTTTTTCAGAGGAGGTTGGAGAAACACCTGCCAGGGATGGTATAGGTCTACTTGGCCCTGCTTCTGCGCAAGGGGTTAGACATGATGACCTTTCGAGAGCCCTTCCAGCCCTACATGTCTACAGTTTCTCCTATATTAGAATCATAATGTATATGTGGTTTTATATATTTAATGAGAGCAGCCATTTTGGGGGGGCTACAGTATTTGCCTGCAAATAAAGTGCTTTACAACTGCACTATTTCTACTTCATGCTTTAGTGTATGCCTCACAAACCTCAGTTCTTTCAGTTTTTCTTCCCCATGAGTGATTCTACAGTCTCCCAAATTAAAAGGAATTTGTTGTTGTTTTATGAGCTCATCTCAACAGGGGAGAGAGACTTACCCTGGAAGAAGCTGGAAAACATTGATTATATTAGTTCACAATCAATGCAAAAAATAGTTGCTCAGGGTTGAAACCCTCTAAAATGCTTGTTTGAACAAAAGATACCTTTAAAGCTGCTAAATCAAATTATTATGGTTGCCTGAGAATTCAAATACTAAATACTTTTATAGATGTTTTCATAATCTATGATAAGAAAAACATTGTAACAAATTCTTCAGAAATGAAATAAATTATCTTAACCTGTTGGTCTGATCTTTCAGTTTACAAGTGTAACTACCTGGCATTGAAGAGAACCCACTCTTGTTAACTTTCTCTCTCTTTATCATATAATTTCTAAATTTCTTACATTTTAAACTTGACTTTTATTGATGTGACTAGCATTTCAGGAATTAAGACTTTTTCACAAGTGTTTTAAATCTTCCAATAAGAAATTTTTGTTTGTTTTGGTTGCTTGTTAAAGTTCTTGTGGAGTAATAATCAGCCATTTCCCATTTGTAGGTTTACCCTGGCTATTCACCTTTAATGTGAAGTTTTATCCTCCTGATCCTTCACAGTTGACTGAAGACATTACCAGGTATGCATATTTTAATATAAAACTTGATAATCAGTGTTTTTTTTATATTGTACACTCTGCAAGTCAACAACTTACTTGCTTCCTGTGTTTTGAATTCACATTGCAGATTTTCTCTCTCCCCACTCCTTCCCTTCCTCCCTCATAGAATAAGGGAACAGAGAGGCCCTAGTTGTGGGAGGAAATTTATCCTGGGCACAGACTTCAGGATGGCCTGGAAGTTTAAATATTCTGTCTGCTGCTACAGCACAGTTTGACTATACTGTGCAATGCTGCCGCTTTTTGTAGCCAGTAGGAAGCGAGTAGGAGTTGGAGACTTTGCATGATGACATCACGCAGCTTTTCTTGCCCCCAGTTCACAGCATGAGCAGTCCTGAGCTGGGATGAGACCTGGGACTCAGTGGATCTGATAAGGCCTCCAGGGGAGCTCCCAAATGAGAGGGGGAAGCTAGTTGAAATGGGGGGAGGGGCTAATGAAGGGGTCCAGAAGGAAGAGGGAGAAAGTAAAAAATTATAGCAAGAGACCAGAGGATGAGGATAGAAATGGGATAGAGTGGAGCAGCATGGTAGCAGGGAGGAGACCAGAAAAGGGAATGAACCTCTTAAGGGTCAGAGGCATGGAGCCAGTGGATGTTGTGGGGCTGTCACTATATTCGGATGTAAGCGGTAGGGTAACTTGTGTTGATATGAGTACTGAGCTCAAAGATGTTAAGGTGCTTTATATGCTAACTCTATATTAAACATAAACTGAATTGCTGAGAATACATTTTCATAGATAGGTATTAGAGATGGTAACAAACACACAAAGTAAGATAGTACAACAGAATTATTATCCTTGTTTCTTTATGATAGTACCCATTATGTGCTACATGCTTTTCAGACAGCCAAGGAGGAAGAATCTGAGAACAGAGAAAAGTAGAAAGAGTTTAAAGAAAATGGGAAATATTTTTTCCCTCAAGAGTTGTCTTGGTTTACTGTTGCAACATTAAACAGTTAATTGTGGTTTGTAACTTGCTTAAGTGTTTTGAGGGGGATACAGAAATAGTCCAGATAATTTATTTTTAGTTGTCAAACATTTATCAAATAGAATTTGTTAAATACAGTGTATAGCAAACACCGACTGTATGACAATGGTATATAAAGGATTTATTGATACTCGTTTAAAATTATTTACATAGTTCACCACTTAGTAGCTTCCCCATTTGTGAGAAAAATGACCACTCCAAACATTTGATGTACAAAATAAACTACATATACAGTCTATAATTGTCTCTCATTCCACATGTAGTAGTATAGCTAATTGTATTCGTGTTCAATTAATCTAAAACAAGCTTTAGGTGTCCACGCTGGCTATAAAACTATTTTCAGGAAATTAAGTTGGGCTTTTAGATTGTGTTCAATTAATGTAAATAGTGTTATCCTTGATTATCTTTGAAATTTTCTAAATCCCCAATACTTTGAGCTTCACTATGAATTCAAAATAAACTAGTAAAAAATAAAATTTACTTTTGTTTAGTATGTCATGTAAGATTACTTTGTGTGTGCATGGCATAAGGCTTTATGGACAAGAGTTGCAAGGTACAAGATAAATGTAATTACTCACATGGATACGACCTGTGTGAGGGATGCAAGTGTTCACTGCTTATTGATATAGTATGCATTCCTGTGTTGTATGGTATGACTCGTTGGATTACATGGTGCAAAAAAAATTAGATATATTACTGAAGTTTTAAAACCAAACCCTAGATTTTCAATGAAAAATGTATCATCCATTTTTAAATGGATTGTACCTAGGGTGACCAGACAGCAAATGTGAAAAATTGGCATGGGGCTGGGAGGTTATAGGAGCCTATATGAGAGAGAGAGATCCAAAAATCGAGAGTGTCCCTATAAAATCGGTCATCTGGTCACCCTAATTGTACCAAGCCTGAAAATAAACATGACAGAGTTGGTAAGCAAGTTTTATTATGTAAAGGCAGACACATACTGCTCATTTGTACTGGGAACCAGGGTATTTCTAATTCAGCTGATTTATGAAAGATGTATTGATTCTTATACTAAAACTGTAACTCCAAATCCTTTGTTTTTAGTTGACAAAATCGATCAGAAATGGAACTTGGTCTCTGTGTAATGGCTCTATCAGTGCATTTGGTTTTTTTAAAACAGACTATTGGAACTACATGTTTGGATAGATTTTACTCAGCTTTGTGCATGTGTGCTGTCACAAATTTCCTGCAGGAATATTTCTGTTTACCATAAGTAACTTTTTTTTCCTTTTTGCAGATATTTCCTATGCCTACAGCTTCGTCAGGATATTGCTTCTGGCCGACTGCCATGTTCTTTTGTGACTCATGCCCTCCTTGGTTCATATACTCTGCAGGCCGAGCTAGGCGACTATGATTCAGAGGAGCACAATAACCATTACATCAGCGAATTCCAATTTGCACCCAATCAAACAAAAGAGATGGAGGAGAAAGTAGTAGAACTGCACAAAACACACAGGTGTGTCAGACCTGGTGGGAATAAAATGTTGATATGGTCTTGGTTACATCTGTCATTTCTCTTGATCTTAAAAATATGTATAAAATTGTGTTAGATTGAAGAAGTTTAGCACTACTATGAAAGTCTTACACCACTTACATAGCTACAACATTTTTCTTATATGCATTTAAATGGAACTTGTCTTTAGTTTGACTTTTTTTTCTTCTGTTTATTAAAGCCCCTTAGTAGGCTTTCCATCAAATAAGTCAATTATGGATGGCTTCTTGCTTTAGCCAGTAAAAACAGCAATAAACATTTCAGCTGGGAAAGTTTTGAAGCTATATTTCATGATACGGGCTTTTTTACTTGCTTTTTAAGAACGATTGTCTGAATTTATTTCATTCAGAGATGTTTTGAATAATATGAAGAAAACATTCAGAATCTGAAATTTTTCATTTAAATTAGCCACAATTATTCAGTGTCTAAACTAGCTACCTTTGGATTATTAAAAATACATTTGTAGTCTGATTATGAGGAGCCATTTTATGACTGACGTGCAGATAGAATTAAAGTCCCAAAGTCTCATTACATTAAAAATATAAGTACATTGGCAATTGCTTTCAGTCAACAAAATAGATCATACATTTCTTTGCATTGCCCAAAGGCCAGAGCCCAGTGCCCTGAACTATACACTCTTTTTGTAGTGTTGTTTTTTACCTTGAATAAACCATGGTCACTGTTTTAGTTTTGTCAATAATAGGAAAAATTATTCTTGTTCCCCTCATACTGACGGAAGGACGGTCGTCTTTTGTTAGATAAATGCTAGGAATGTAAATTGTAAGCTCCTTGGGGCAGGAACTGTCTTTTTGTTCTGTTTGTACAGCATCTAGCACAATGGGGTCCTGGTCCATGACTAGGCATTACCACAATACAAATAATAATAATAATGAATGAAGTCCTGAGCTATATTGGGAGCAAAACCCCCACTGTCTTCAATGGGGCCACAATTTGGGCATATATTGCTCTCTAGATACTGTATAGTTATGTGTGCAAAGTGTGCAGTCTAAGTCAGAAAAGGTTAACCTTTCTATGTTGA